TGAGTTGTCAGTCCGCTCCTGCTTGCAACCCACTAGTGTAGGGTTCCAAGCAGGAGGTATGCAGGCAACACAACGCCTCCTTCACATCCAGTCAAATGCTCTCTGCAGAGCAATCCAAACACAGATCACCCTTCAGAGAGCAACGCTAATGTGAGTGAGCCCTAAAGGAATCTGAGCCTAAGGATTTATGTAGACTGCCATTTTGGACCTCCTGAAGGGGGAAAAAAAAAAAAAAAAAAAAAAAAAAAAAAAAGGGTATTCCTGTTAGGTACACCACTGAAAGTTTCGGTTTATATCTGATCAATTAAGTGAAAAAGATAACTTTCACTCTGGACTACAGAACACCCATCCTGCCTGTAATGGAGATTGAAAAGGGGATGGTTTTTCACTCTGGACTATAGAACACCCGTCCCACTGGTTGTAGAGATGAGAAGGGGATGGTTTTCACTCTGCACTACAGAACACCCATCCTACCTGTTATGGAGATGAGTAGGGGATGGTTTTCACTCTGGACTACAGAACATCCCTCCCGCCTGTTAAGGGAGATGTGGAGGGAATGTTTTCACTCTGGACTACAGAACACAAGCAGATGGTTTTCACTCTGGACTACAGAATACCTATCCCCGCCTGTTAAGGGAGATGAGAAGGGGATGTGTTCACTCTGGACTACAGAACACCTATCCCCCACCTATTATGGAGATGAGAAGGGGATGGTTTTCACTCTGGACTACAAAACACCCGTCCTACCTGTTCTGGAGATAAGGGGATGGTTTTCACTCTAGACCACAGAACACCCATCCTACCCATTATGGAGATAAGGGGATGGTTTTCACTGTGGACTACAGAACACCTGTCCCGCCTATTATGGAGATGAGGAGTAGGGGATGGTTTTCACTATGGACTACAGAACACCTGTCCTACCTGTTATGGAGATGAGAAGGGGATGGTTTTCACTCTGGACTACAGAACACCTGTCCTACCTGTTATGGAGACGAGGAGATGTTTTTACTCTGGACTACAGAACACAAGAAGGGGATGGTTTTCACTCTGGACTACAGAACACCCATCCTGCTGTTATGGAGATGAGAAGGATGGTTTTCACTCGGGGCGGGTGTTCTGTTATCCAACCTGTTATGGAAATGAGAAGGGGATGACTTTCACTTTGGACTACAGAACACCCAGCCTGCCTGTTGAGATGAGAAGGGGATGGTATTCTTTAGTCCTGACTCCCTACCTGTTATAGGGTGACAACACTGCTCCTCTATACAGTATAACCATTGAATGTGGTCACCCTAGGACAGGAAATGTGTTACAGGCAGGATCACCAGGTTAAATAAAAAGCTGTGTTTAGATACAGGATTTAATGGCAGAATAAATCCACGCTCCCACATTATATAGCATGGATTTACTCTCGAATTTTTGCCAGGAACTTAAATTTGGATCACTCAGAATCTGGTGCAGCTGTACATGGCAGCCAATCAGCTTCTAAACTCCAGCTTGCTCAATGAAGCTTTGACAATAAAACCTGGAAGCTGATTGGTTTCTAGGCAGAGCTGCACCAGATTTTGCACTCCTCATTTTTAGTAAAATCAACCGCCATTGACAAGAAACCATACAAACTTGTTATTTAATAATTTTCAACTTTTATTTAGAAAAAAAAATTGTCCCAAAATGAGACATAATAATATCACAGTACAAAATATAATAACTCTGAAACAGAATGTACAAAAAACACAGTAAATTTGTTTTTAAACCAAAAACAATCTCCTCGGTGCAAGCATACATTCTCCAAGGAATCGATCAGCGGTAATGCAAAGTTGCAGTGCGAACGTACAGTACAAAATAAAACAAAAAATATATAAAGTTAAGTGCATTCTCAAAAAGAGAATTATCAATACTTGAAAAACAGGCAGACACTTGAACAGTAAAAATCGGTCGAGAAGTCAGGACAGGGAACAAACGTTTTCTACAACATGGCAAGGCAACCGTTCTCCATGGCCAAATCAAAGATGGCTCCACAGTTGCCTAGCCTTGCCGTAGAACATTGTTAGGTCATCCTGTCCATGATCCAAAGACCAAAGTGCATTGAAAATGTGTAGCATGGCTTTGTAGGCTGCAGCAGACATTTTTATACAAAAAGGAAGTTTATCCACTTCATGTATCGGAAGGAGGGCCCTGTTTTCCATTGGCCTTTGGCAATTTTGAGCCTACACAAAAAAAAAAAACTCTAGTAATGAGGAACTATCTGACATTATCAGGGCAACCAAGAGTTCCTCCTTCAGAACATTCAGCCAGGAGTTGCAGTTTATGGCTAGAAAAGAACATGGAACTTCTGGAAATGTATCTGAAAGAGGTGGACCTGTGTTGCCTGTAGGCTTTTTTGAGCTCCTAGACAGCACTAGTGATAAGGATCCAACAGTAGGCAACCAACAGTTCTCCTTCAGAACATTCAGCCAAGAGTTACAGTTCACAGCTACGAAAACGTAGATCTTTTGGAACCGCTACTCAATTCATGTATCTAGAAAGGTGGACCTGTCTTGCCTGTAGGCTTTTGTGAGCTCCTACACAGCACTAGTGATGAGGATCCAACAGTAGGCACCTGGGCAACCAACAGTTCTCCTTCAAAACATTCAGCCAAGAGTTACAGTTCACAGCTATGAAAACATAGATCTTCTGGAACCGCTACTCAATTCATGTAACTAAAAGGTGGACCGGTCTTCATTGCCCATACACTTTTTTTTTGAGCTCCTACACAGCACTAGTGATGAGGAGGATCTAACAGTAGGCACAAGGGCAACCAACAGTTCTCCTTCAGAACATTCAGTCTTGAAGCCAAGAGTCACAGTTTACAGCTAGAAGAAGGCAATATAGAAACTTCTGGAAGTGCTACCCATTTCGTGAATCTGAAGGTGGACCAGTTTTTGCTGTCTCAGGCTCTTACAGAGCACCAGTGATTAAGGAGGTTCTATCTGTAACCCCAGAGCAAAACCAGATCCTCCTTCAGAACATTGTCATAAAGCCACACAGTCACAGTTTATGGCTAGAGAAGGCATAAAAACAGAAATTTCTGGAAGTGCTACAAAAAAAAAGCAGAAGTGTAGTGGTTGAGCCTTCTAAAGACTCCAAAAGAAAAGTATTAGCTTACACAAATCTACATAAAGAAAAAAAAAAAAAAAGTGCCTTACAAATATGTATCAAAATTTAACACTGCTTTAAACTTTTAAACTAATACAACAAGCACTAGAACTTTCAATAAAAAAAAAAAAAAAATATGAAATCACGAAATGTCTTTAGTGATTGGTGCTCAGATTTTTAAGCACATGCCATGATATACATATACTGACAGGCTGAAGGTAAAAACCACCTATTAGAAGTCAGTCTGGGTAACCTCATCAAGAGCATTTAAGAAGCTTGGCAGGTATATAAAAGGCTTAAAGTTGGAATGCTATCTGACAATTAAACTTCCCTTTATATATATATATAAAAAAAGGCACCAGAATCAATCATGGCAAAAAAAAAAAAAAATTATAGGAGTTATTTGTTGCTCTTTACATTTGAAATACTCAAGACTCGTACTATAAATACAGAAATTGATCACTGTGGTACAAAAGATTTTGAAAACAGTCATCGGAAGTGTTGCATAAAAAGGTTAGATGGTACAATCGTAACCGCCACACTGTTCTAATACAAAAAAAAAACAAAAAAAAAAAAATCCAATGGCCAATGGCCTGGAGTGTCCTTTTCCCCCCATCTACTATACAAGAAACTCAGGCCCGAGTATTGCTTGAGGCAGGGCCAGCTATCTCTACGACGTTTGCATTGTGTTGGCACACCGGAAGAACGACAGTCTTTGGGTGGCTATTAGTCAACAGATTGACTTTTGCATTGATTTCAGCCCTTTAAAACGTGGATTTCCGAAAAGGAAAATGAAAAAAAGGCCACGAGAGAAGATAGGACCTGCGTATAACAGTGCTTTCGATAAGTTCAGAGATTGAGAAACAAGTGCTTCTATGTTCTGTTTATTGCCCGCAGGTATTCTTGTTGGCATCGACCTGAAGAAGAAAGAAATATATTGGTAAGTTGACGGTTTCTGGGAACTATACACTGTATATATAAAAAAATATATGTATTGTTTATTTGGCAGTTTAAAACTGGGGCCAAAATGCAGCAACCCAACTTGCTTAAAAAAAATATAAAATAAAAAAAACACAAAACTTTAAGTATTAAAAATAAAAAAAATACAAATTAAATACAAATAAATAAAAATAGGGTTTTTTTAATAAAAAATAAAAAAACTTTTAGTATTAAAAATAAAAGTATTAATTATTTTTTTTTTTTTTTAATAAATACAAATTAAAATACATATTTATATTTTATTTTTAATACTTAGTTTGTTTTTTTATTAAAAATAAAATAAATAAAAATGTATTTTAATTTGTATTTTATTTTTAATATAAAAAAAAAAAAAAAAAAAAAAACACACCACACACACACACACCTTATTTTTATTTGTATTTAAATTAAAAAAAAAAAAAAACCCCACACACACACCACAGTATACTTGCCTGCTTTGTGCAATGGTTTTGCACAGAGCAGAGCCCTGATCCTCCTCCTCTGGTCCCGCACCAGACTCCTGGCTACTTTCCTCTGCCAAGTACTCCCATAGCAAGCTGCTTGCTATGGGGGAACTCATGCATGCATGCTCACACTCCTGAGCCCTATGGTTTTCACTGACACGCAGAGCAGGGCTCAACCCCCCACCCCTCCTCACTGGCTGATTGACAGCAGAGGGAGCCAATGGCTCCTGCTGCTTGGTCTGAATCAATGAGAAGGGAGAGAGCCAAGAGCAGCTGTTCTCCTGAACATCACTTGATTGAAAATCTGGCTCAGGTAAATAGGAGGGGGAAGGTTGAGATGCACACAAGTTTCCCCCACCCCACAACCCTTCATGAAGGTAAAAAACCTTCAGCCTTTACAACCACTTTAAATTTTCATGGCCATTACAACATCATGATCAGTTTGATATTTCTACAGCTGAACTCAGAACTTACCTCTGTGTAGGTTGGAGGTGGCATGAACTTGAACTCTGGAGCGTACATGAAGATGGGACTGTCACAGCTGTTGTCCAGCTCATCGATTAGAGGAGTGGTTGGGCTTTCAAGTCTGTGGTCCTCAGGAACAATGTCCAGATAACATGGAGGAGCTGCAAAAGCAACATAAAGGTTTAATATGCCTACTTTTAAAAAAGGAGACTTAAACATGCATGAGGGCAACAGAAAACCGAGACAATGAGGGATATTTACTAACTGGAGAGTGCAAAATCTGGTGAAGCTCCTCATAGAAACCTATCAGCTTCCAGGTTGTGTCAAAGCTTCACTGAAGAAGCCGACTGGCTACCATGCACAGCTGCACCAGATTCCGAGCGCACCGGTTTTAGTAAATCTCCCCCAATGTAGAATGTTAAAATACACACCTTCTGGAGTGCCAGGGATGTTCAGTTCGACCCAACTCATCTCCGAGCTGGCCTGGCTTGCCATGCTTGAGCTGCGGCTGCTGAAACCAGAGGAACTGGTGCCAATCACAAGGGGCAAGTCAAGGATGACCTTCTTCGCTCCGGGAACACTGACATAAACCTGTTGAGAAACGTAAAAAGATAAAAAAAAAAATTTAGTACTGGTGGAATTCGGTTTTGAATTTTAGCTTTCTAGAATAGAGAAACCAGAGACTGTGGTAGACAAGACGTACCAGTAAAGAATATTCCACTCTCAGGATGTGGCAGCCCAGGAGGGAAGGCTTGATCTTTGGGACACGGATGCTCTTTCCTCTCCAAGAGTCCGTCATGCCGGAGATGATGTGATTTCCCCTCACGCTGCACAGCTTCTGGGTGAAGACTTTGGTCTGACCGTTGGCCAAGTAAGTGTGCTTGCCGATGATGGCAGCTTTTGGGACCACAATACGAGAGCAGGTGTTCTCAAAGTCAGCGGAGATACAGATATCATCACCTACAAACCACAAAAAAGGGGCATGATCATTAGAGGGGGTAAAACCATTTTTTTGCTCCTCCTTACCATAGGCTTCAATCAATGACACAAAAAAACATGGCGGTTGACTTACTAAAACTGGAGTGTGCAAAATTTGGTGCGGCTGTGCACAGTAACCAATCAGCTTCGGCAAACACTGGAATCCAATCATTTCCTACGCAGAGCCACACCAGATTTTGCACTCTCCGGTTTTCGTAAATGAACCCCATGGCTATATTAAACAAGACACTCACCTTCACAGAATCCCTTGCGGTTAATGCTGGCACTCATGGTGATATGGCCATCAGGAATGAACAAACAAGTCATCTTCTTGTGCTTTTTGCCAGAAACAGGAGACTGAAAGGGAAAAAAGGGACATTATGGTCACAATTCAGCTCCACTGAGCGTGAAATCTAGAAGGTTACAGTTCAGCTAGCTGTGGTGACCCTTTGACTTCTGGTGTTAATCAGTAAAGCTCATTACTTAACATGACACTAGTTTAGCTATGACCTTGCCCTCAGCTTACATTCAGATACTAGTTCTGGTCTTGGTAGGCGCTACTGATGAAATTCTGAATGGAGTCAAAAATCAAGACCACCCCTGCACTACTATAGTCATCTACAGGACTATAAAAATGAAGCTGATATAGATAAGAGGGAGAACTTACCAATAAATCTGGAGTGTTCACATCCACTAAGTCAACCACTTGGAATTTCTTCTGCACTTCCAGAGCTGGGAGTGATGGTCGCTCAAGGAAAGCTTTGACCCAATATTTCACAGATCCATACTTCCCCTTGAAGGTTGAGCCCAAAGGCCTGTGAAGGGAACAAACAAGAAAATTAAGTCTCTTTGCAGCCAACAAAAACTCTCCCAAAAAACAGCTGATCAAACAATTGCCTCTTTTATGCGGTCTGAACCACGACTTACCCTTGAGGAAGCTCAAATCCAAACTTGTACTCGTACTGGTTGCCAGGTCTCAGGATTACAGATCCATCAGAATCTATGAAGAGACGAAAAACAGAAAAATGCCATTAATTTAGTAAACCATAAAACCAGTGGTCATCACTAATATTCATCCATCTAGCAGCTCCTACAAGCCTAATCACTTTTGATTTTGATACCCAGGGAATGTGGTATTGTGTTCTTGGCAGCATTAACCCGTTTTTTTTGATCCAGACCACAAAGATTTTGCCTTTGCAGCTCTGCCTCTTAGGATCTTAATGTTCTGTAGTGGCTGCTCTGTGCCTGCGAGGCTTAGCGCAGCAAAGTCATCGGATCGTGTTTCACACATACAGTAATGTTATACTGTGCTTGGCTCGTGCTGCTAGAACAGGGACATCACTAGGGACCTGCTACAGGTACCACACATGTACTGGTTCTCCATAAAGACTAAGATCTACCATTGACATTCCTACATCTTCTAAAACAAGATGCTGAATTGTGCACAGAGGCATTTCTGTTCTCAATAAATCCAAAGACAGCACATACTCCATTATCAAATTATCCGTTCCACCAGCATTGTCAGCAAGGGCTCTCATTTATCCAAGTCATACCGGTTTACCAGAGAACCTTGAGATAAAGTCTCAGGGAACCCCTGCTAAAACTAATCCCTAAGGAGTCAAGAGGGAAAATGCCCCTTTACATTGGTAGTCAGTCGTAAGAAAGCTCCACGATCAGTTCCACCAGCATGGTGGACATAAAGGCTCTCATGGTTGTCAGTGGTAAGAAAGCTCCACAATCCATGCCACCAGTATGGCCCAGGAAGGCTCCCACTCATCAAAATCATAGTATAGCTCAGCATTGTCAGCAAGGGCTCTCCTTTATCCAAGTCATTGTGTAGCTCAACCTGTTTACATGAGAACCTTGAGATAAAGTCTCAGGGAGCTCCTGCTAAAACTAATCCCTAAGGAGTCAAGAGGGAAAATGCCCCTTTACATTGGTAGTCGTAAGAAAGCTCCATGATCCGTTCCACCAGCATGGTGGACATAAAGGCTCTCATGGTTGTTAGTGGTAGGAAAGCCCCAAAATCCATACCACCAGTATGGCCTAAGAAGGCTCCCCACTTATCAAAATCATAGTAAAGCTCAGCTGTTCCCAACCTTTTTTTACCCTAGAGCACAGGTGTCAAACTGGTGGCCCCCCAGCTGTTGCCAAACTACAAGTCCCATGAGGCATTGCAAGACTGACAGTTACAAGCATGACTCCCAAAGGTAGAGGCAAGACTGGACTTGTAGTTTCACAACAGCTGAAGGGCCGCCAGTTTGACACTGCTGCCCTGGAGGAACCCTTGAAATGATTATCTGGTCTTGGGAAAGCCCTGCTAAAACCAATTCAATGGGGATTAGTAGGAAAAATACCCTTTATATTGGTGGTATGCACTAGGAAAGCCCTCCTTACAGTGATGATCACCATACCACTCCTAAAGACAGCCGATTGGTGTCATGCAGCTGGCTCTACAAAGTGATGTTGACCCTGGTACTATGGAGGCACCTTCAGATGGGAGGTCACTCAACCACAGGTCATGGGAGCCCTAGATGTACTATGAAGGCATCATGTGGGAGTTCAATCAACCACTACTGAAGGAAGCCTAGAACTATACAGGCACAGCTGAATGGGATGTCAAATCAGCCAAAGCTCAACGAAGTCCTGAAATAACCCTAGAATTGTGAAGGCACCAGCAAATGGGGAGGTCATGGACGCCCTAGAGAAACCCTATGAAGGCACCAGCAAAAGGGGAGGTAGGTTACTCAACCACAGGTCATGGACGCCCTAGAGAAACCCAATGAAGGCAGCAATGGGGAGGTCAGTCTGCCAAAAGCCCAAGGAAACACTAGAGGAATCCTAGGATTCCATGGAACCTTGGAACTATGGAGACACCATCAAATGACTGATATGAATGTACAAACATATCTAGCTGAGTAAATTGACAGCGATATACAAGTACCTGTAATAAACAGGAGGTCAAACAACCACAGCTCAAGGAACCCCTAGAGGAACCATACTAATTTCATGGAAATCTGGTGGAGAATAGCCATTCTAGTGCGTAGTTGGTCACATTTTTAGCATTCAACACCTAGAACCAAAGAAGCTACAAAAATGTGTCAAAAAAGGTCTTCAACATTAGAAACCAGGCTCAACTGAAGGCTACCACCATCAAGGATTCTTTCCACCACCAGGAACAATGGAGCCATCAACTGCCACAATGAAACTGAAAAACCAACTGCAACATTCTTTAAATTGAACCTTCCTAAGAAGCATTTCGAAGAATCATCAGCTGGAAGCGACTTCCTCGTGGTAACAATAGAAGCATTCTATTTCGTGTTGCGGTGTTAAATGGACCACGCTTCGTTAGTTGCTTTACCAACGACGCATTGATAAAGAGATCACCCAATGCTTCCAATTAAACCTGTCAAAAGTGGAACTACAAGTCCCAGCATGCTACCTCATCACACAATAGCAAACACAGAACCACAGCATCCTTTAACCCCTTCCCAGCGGTGGTGCTCACCTGTAGGCTGGTCCTCCATCTGCAAGGTGTCCTCCACCCTCAGGTACTCCATCTCCTGCTTGCAGTGTTGAGGTCCAGTGGACCAGACCACCTTGGCCACTCCGCAGGCCAGCGCCTTGACTTTGGTCACCCGGGTCACCTCGGACACCTCCACCATCACCTTCCCGGTCACCTTCTCCCCTCCACAGTACACCCTCTCTGGGTCGGAGAAGACCACCTCGAACAACTTGACCTTCTTGAAGACCACCATGGTTGGTCGGTTAGGATGTCCCCCCCAAAAAATAAAAATTTAAAGGAATTTTCCTTCAATGGGGATTCAATTCACTGGCAGCCCCCCTGTTGAGAAGGGAGTGTCTGTGTATTGTTTTGGTGACTATTTTGGCAGATGGAGCCACTCTATAAGTTGCTGAGCACAGCCGCCTGTAGTCTGTCTCTCTGCTGCCTGAGCGATTGTAAACAACATCCGGAACACCGTCCTATATGTATGCCTGGCGCTCGGCCCCGCCTCCTGCCTGCCTTGGCTCTCCACGTGCATCGGGACCTGCACGCCGTGCTCACCTCGTGCACAGGGCGCTGATTGGACGGCGCGGCTTTGTTTCCAGCGCCGCCAGCCAATGGCTGGACGGGAGCGGCGCGTGGACAGTGCGTGCACGCAGCGGGGGAATGCCAGGCGAAGATGAGGAGGGGGTGTGGCCGAGACATCATTCCCTGTGTTGTTTGTGAAGTGGCAGAGGTAGGGGGCGGGGCTGGTGTGTGTGAGAGAAGAGCGGTCCGTACGACCAGCTGCGCGGTCTTCATAGACGTGTCAGACCCCGTATGTGACACACAGCTGTGTACACCGTCAGTGCAGCACCGCTGAGCAATACGCAGTGCTATGACCAGCTGGGTGGTCACTATGGTTACCTCAGACTGTACAGTGGTCAATATGGTTACCTCAGACCAGGGGCAGACTGACCATTTGGAAACTCGGGTCAGTAGGGGGGCCCATGAGATGCCCTTGGTACCTTTTTCATAGGCTTTTTTGAGTTTGGGCAAGGACACAGGGGCCCCATGATCCCCTATTGCCCGGGGCCCCCATGAGTTGTCAGTCCGCCCCTGCCTCAGACTGTACAGTGGTCAATATGGTTACCTCAGACCGTACAGTGGTCACTATACTTCCTTTAGACCGTACCCTGGCGCTAGAGTTCCCTCAGACTGTACACTGGTCACTATTCTTCCCTCAGACTGTACCCTGGTCTCTATAGGTACCTCAGACCGTACGCTGGTCACTATGGTTCCCTTAGACCGTACCCCACTTGCTACAGTTCCCTCAAACTGTACAGTTACTTCAGACTACACTGGTCACTATGGAGGCTTCAGACCATACGCAGGGCGCTAGAATTTCCTCAGACCACACCCTGGTCACTATTGTTCCCTCAGACTGTATACTGGTCACTATATGTACCTCCGACCGTACACTGGTCAGTATAGTTTCTTTAGACCGTACCCCGGTTGCTACAGTTCCCTCAGACTACGCTGGTCATTACAGGTACCTCAGACTGTACACTGATCACTATAGTTACCTCAGATCGTACAATGGTCACTACAGTTCTTTTAGACCGTACCCTGGTTGCTACAGTTCCCTCAGACTACACTGGTCACTATAGTTACCTCAGACTGTACACTGGTCACTACAGTTCCCCTCAGACCGTACACTGGTCACTATTATTCCCTTCAGAGCGTACACTGTTCACTATACATACCTCAGACCTTACACTGGCCAGTATAGTTACCTCAGACCGTGCACTGGTCACTATACTTCTCTTATTAGACCATACACTGGTCACTCTAGGTACCTCAGACTGTTCACTGGTCACTATAGTTCTCTTAGACCATACACTGGTCACTAGATGTACCTCAGACTATACACTGGCCAGTATAGTTACATCAGACTGTACACTGGTCACTGTAGTTCCCTCAGACTGTACACTGGTCACTATAGGTACCTCAGACTGTACACTGATCACTATAGTTCCATCAGACCATACCCCAGTCACTAATGTTCCCTTAGACTGTACACTGTTCACTACAGTTCCTTCAGACCCTACCCTGGTCACTATTGTTCCCTTAGACTGTACACTGGTCACTATAGGTACCTCAGACTGTACACTGGTCACTATGGTGACTTCAGACCATACGCAGGGCACTACAATTACCTCAGACCATACCCTGGTCACTAATGTTCCCTCAGACTGTACACTGGTCACTATATGTACCTCAGACTGTACACTAGTCACTATAGGTACCTCAGACTGTACACTAGTCACTATGGTGACTTCAGACCATACGCAGGGAACTAGAATTACCCCTGACCAAACCCTGGTCACTATTGTTCCCTCAGACTTTACACTAGTCACTATATGTACCTCAGACTGTAAACTAGTCACTATGGTGACTTCAGACCATACGCAGGGCACTAGAATTACCTCAGACCACATCATGGCCACTATTGTTCCCTCAGACCATACCCTGGTCACTATATGTACCATAGACTGTTCACTAGTCAGTATAGGGTGGAAGGCTGTTGATAGGGTCACCCACTGAGTTCCTTAGGAACCATCTGATATTCATGGAGTGTATGGCCAGCTTTGGCTGACTACTGCCTGTATGTACTGTATACTGTATGTATGTATATAACATTAATAGGGCCTGATCACGAGAGGAATATGGGGACCGCCTTCCTATATACAGTATGTGTATACATCACATCAAATGAGAAGAGTATGGAGCCCGGCCCTCACCTACTGCCTATATGTGTGTACATAATATACGTTACAAAGGACACTGAGCAGGAGAAGAATAAGAAGGCCAGCTTTAGTTCACTTGTGAGATATATACACTATATTGCCCAAAGTATTGGCCCCGCCCTCCCAATCATGTGATTCAGGTGTTCCAATCCCCTCCATGGACACAGGTGTATACAATCAAGCCCCTAGGCATGCAGACTGCTTCTACAAACATTGGTGAAAGAATGGGTCGCTCTCAGGAGCTCAGTGACTCCAAGCGTGGTCCCGTGATAGGTGGCCACCTGTGCAATAAGTCCATCCGTGACATTTCCTGGCTACTAAATATTCCACGCTCAACTGTTAGTGGGATTATAACAAAGTGGAAGCAACTGGGAACAGCAGCAACTCAGCCACCAAGTGGTAGGCCACGTCACATGACAAAGCGGGGTCAGCGCATGCTGAAGCGCACAGTGCGCAGAAGTCACCAACTGTCTGCAGAGTCAATAGCTAAAGACCTCCTCCAAACTTGGTGTGGCCTTCAGATTAGCACAACAACAGTGCGTAGAGAGCTTCATGGAATGGGTTTCCATGGCCGAGCAGCTGCATCCAAGCCTTACATCACCAAGTGCAATGCAAAGCGTCGGATGCTGTGGTGTAAAGCACGCCGCCACTGGACTCTAGAGCAGTGGAAGTGTGTTTTCTGGAGTGACCAATCATGCTTCTCTGTCTGGCAATCCGATGGACGTGTCTGGGTTTGGCGGTTGCCAGGAGAACGGTATTTGCCTGACTGCATTGTGCTAAGTGTAAAGTTTGGTGAAGGGGGGATTATGGTGTGGGGGTTGTTTTTCAGGGGTTGGGCTTGGCCCCCTAGTTCCAGTGAAAGGAACTCTTAAGGCAACATTTTGGACAATTTAATGCTCCCAACTTTGTGGGAACAATTTCGGGATGGCCCCTTCCTGTTCCAACATGACTGCACACCAGTGCACAAAGCAAGGTCCATAAAGACATGGAGGAGCCAGTTTGGGGTGGAGGAACTTGACTGGCCTGCACAGAGTCCTGACCTCAACCCCATAGAACACCTTTGGGATGAATTAGAGCGGAGACTGTGAGGCAGGCCTCCTCCCCCGACATCAGTGCCTGACCTCACAAATGTGCTTCTGGAAGAATGGTCAAACCTTCCCATAGACACCCTCCTAAACCTTGTGGACCGCCTTCCCAGAAGAGTTGAAGCTCTTATAGCTGCAAAGGGCGGGGCCAACTCAATATTGAACCCTACGGACTAAGACTGGGAGGACATTAAAGGTCATGTGCGTGGAAAGGCAGGCGGGCCAATACTGACGGCAATATAGTGTATATAAAACATAAAGGAATAAAAAATACTTATTGTGAGAGCAATATGAAGCCCAACTTTACTTATTTCCTTTATAAAACGAGGGGCGTTCAAGTCAAACTGGGACTTTTGAGTTTATATAATAAAAAGAACAAATTTCAAGGAGTGAAAACAGCATTTATTTCAACATACTCCCCTGCTACAGTTATACACTTATCTCAGCATTTAACTAATGCCTGGAAAGCTTCGGCATAGAAAGATTTGTCAGTACGCTTGAACCATCCTAGGACGGCCTGCTTCACTTCATCGTCATTAGTGGTGGGCTTGATGTTTGTATCGAACGTAAGTTTGACTCGAACATCGGCTGTTCGCGTGTTCCACTAAATGTGAGGGTCATGGACGTTCCTGTTCTAGTATTCCATCAAATACGAGGGCCATAGCAGTTCCATTTCTAGTATCCCACTAAATACGAGGGCCATGGCAGTTCCATTTTTCTAGTATTCCACTAAATACGAGGGCCATGGCAGTTCCAGTTCTAGTATCCCACTAAATACGAGGGCCATGGCAGTTCCAATTCTAGTATCCCACTAAATACGAGGGCCATGGCAGTTCCATTTCTAGTATCCCACTAAATATGAGGGCCATGGCAATTCCATTTCTAGTATCCCACTAAATATGGTGGCCATGGCAGTTCCATTTCTAGTATCCCACTAAATACGAGGGCCATGGCAGTTCCATTTCGAGTATCCCACTAAATACGATGGCCATGGCAGTTCCATTTCTAGTATCCCACTAAATACGAGGGTCATGGCAGTTCCATTTCTAGTATCTCACTAAATATGAGGGCCATGGCAGTTCCATTTCTAGTATCCCACTAAATATGGTGGCATGGCAGTTCCATTTCGAGTATCCCACTAAATACGAGGGCCATGAGAGTTCCATTTTTCTAGTATCCCACTAAATACGATGGCCATGGCAGTTCCATTTCTAGTATCCCACTAAACACGAGGGCCATGGCAGTTCCATTTCTAGTATTCCACTAAATTCTATGGCCATGGCAGTTCCATTTCTAGTATCCCACTAAATATGAGGGCCATGGCAGTTCCATTTCTAGTATCCCACTAAATACGAGGACCATGGCAGTTCCAATTCTAG